CACGTTTAGCGGCCATATTCTCCGATACTCAGTTTTTTCCTGAGCGCGTTCTCAGGTGTAATCACCAACAGAAACAGAGTTTCTCGATATAGTGTGAATCTATTCTGTTTTGTATTTGTATACAGTCACTCAAAAAGAGGAAGTCAAGCACTTGCAATAAAAAATATAATGCCCATAGCGAACCTATGTGTTTTCCGGGAAGGATCAACCCTAAACACCGAAAGCCTCCAAATATTTTGGAAAACATATTGCAGCCCACTTGACAAAAAAAAATACCCACCTCGGAAAGGGATGCGACTCGGGAGGCATCAACCCTAAAAACAATGCCCATTTCCGTGTTTAGGGTTGAGCCCTCTCGAAAATGCATCCAGGTTCCCTAGGGTTTTTTTTTTCTGCCATGCCCGAATAGGTCTCGGTAGCGTCGTCTAGTGCTTTCGGAAGCGTTGTTTAGCGGTCAGTTGCGCTACTGAGCACTACCAAGTGAATTATATGGGCTTCATTCTCTTACTACCTTAATTTCCGAACATATATCCAGGTCGGGAGGTTAAAGTGGATGGTTTTGTTTTTGTCACTTCCTAATGAGTTCGACCAGCGTAAAAAATGTGATTAAAAAGCGACGACCAATCAACGTTGAGAAAGTCCAGATTGATTACACCTGAGAGCGCGCTCAGGAAAAACCTGAGTATCAAAGATAACGGCCGCACGTTTAGCATGTCTGGTTTCACGCTCTGTACACGTGGACGGAATTTTGCTGAAAAACCTGGCTGCCAACGCGGCACGGCTGATGTGTTGTTTGCCTCACCTCGAGGTCTGGTTCGGAGAAGCAGGTGGTTGGCCTGTGCACTGAACTTTGGGGTGTCTGGGCAGGGTACCTCCAAGAGATGCCGGGGGAACTGGAATTGAGCATTCAAATAAATCCTGATTTCTAGAGGTAATAAAGGTAATAAAGCAACTTATGGGAATATACTTTTCGTTCAATTCTCAAAAACAGCCCTCCTACAAGGTGGAAAGCGTTTGATGCTGTGGTCGCACCACGTTTGTGAAAGCTGGTTGGTGGCGGTGTTCGGTTCTGTGGCACTGTACTTGTGGCGGTGAGTGTGTTCAGCTGATCGCGATTCGCGGTGTAGCAGGCTCGCTTTCTGCAATGCACGGTGCACCCCTCCCTCCCTCGGAGGTTTGTTTGTTTCCACAGCGTACACCCCTCTCCCACCTCACCAAACCAGGAAACCTGAACTGCCCAGCACCAACTCACCATTTCCACCCACCTTTCCTCTTCCCCCCACTTAGGTAGACCAAAGCTTTACAGAGCTTCAGTAATTGGCAGCGATCAGTTTGTTCTACGAGTATCGTCAGGCATACAGAGTGAAAGTAATTTTTGTTGGTACTCGTTGGCAATCTTATGCTTCTTGCAACAACGCCCGACGCCACCTTCTAACGTTAGGGTTTGGTTTCTAGTTTTAAGTTCGTTGTTTCTTTCAATCTCTAGTGTAGTCCTGCCTCCCGCTCATTCGCGACATTGCCGCGACGGCAGTGGCTTGACATCCTACAACAATGTCTACGCGGCTCGTGCTGTTTCTAGCAGGCATATCGCTTCTCGCTCTACTCTCAAGTGCGTAAGAACAATTGTCAGGCGACACTTGAGAAAATATAAAAACGACCCTACTTCCCGTTTCCGCCCCCTGTTATCCCCCGCATTTGCGTTTGCGTTTGCGTCTGCCTTTGCGCTTGTGTATGCGTTTGCGTTTTTGTTTGCATCGCTGGAAACGAGGTCGTATGTGAAACGCGTATACTTTATCGTTTCGATGAGCGAAACTCACGTGATGTGATGGAGCTGCCACTAATCACTCGTCGCGACTTTTGAGTGGACTCAAATGTCACCTCGGTGAGCGAAGAACACGTGACGTGACGTGTTCGGAGCAGCTGTCACTGATCATTCGTTGCGCGCCCTCGTTCTGCCCTGCACGTTCTGCCCTGCACGTTCTGCCCAGCACGTTCTGCCCTGCACGTTCTATCCTCCTTGCTCTCCCCCTTGCGTTCTTCTTTTCATGTTCTCCCCCTCGTTCTCCTCTCCATGTTCTTCCCACTTGTTCTTCCTCGTCCTCTCTTGCTCTTCCTCCATTCTGCGCCCATTGTTATTCCCCCCTTGTTCGTCCCCCGTTGTTTTTTTCCACCTAGTTCTTCCCCCATTGTTCTGCGCCCCTCACTCGTCCCCCCTTGTTCTCCCCTTCTGTCATGCGGTCATTGTTCTTCTTCCCCTGTTTTCCCCACCTAGTTCTTTCCCCATTGCTCTGCGCCCATTGTTTTGCGCCCCTCATTCGTTCCCCCATGTTCGTCCCCTTGTGTCATGCGGATCTTTTCTGACGCCACTGCTCTGCTGCCCTAGTCGTGCTCCCCCTTGTTCTGTCGCCCTCCTTCTCCTCCCCTCTCCTCCTCCCCCTCTCCCCGCCCTCCTCCTCCTCCCTCCCATAACCATTCCCCTCCCCATCATTCTCATGTCCTCCGGATCGTCGTCGCGTGTCGCGTCGGTTCGCTGCTCTCCGCACCACCATGGCCGTCTCGTCTCCACCGTGTCACGCGCACCCCTCCCCCGTGCTGCCGCTCTCACTCCTGAACACTCCTCCTCACCCCCTTCCCTCCTCCCCCTCCCCCCCCCCCACCCTCCTCCCTCCCATGTCCATTCCCCTCCCCGTCATTCTCATATCTTTCTGATTGTCGTCGCGTGTCGCGTCGGTTAGTTTCTCCACCGCCACTCTCCCGCGCTGCCGCTCCCACTCATGAACATTCTCTCCCCTTCTCCCTCCCCTTCCCCCCCGTCCCTCCCATTCCTCCTATCTTCCCAATCGTCGTTGCGTTTCTCTCCGACTGTGGCGTGTCTCTTCGATCGTCCTCATTTTCTCTCCGCGCCGCGTCTTTACCGCCATGGCCGCGGCGTCGTCGCTATCGACCGCGCCACGCGCACCTCTCGCTCCCGCGCTCGCGTTTTTCGGCACTGCCTCTAACCGATTCGGCGCTGCCTGTGTCTGTGTCGGCGAACCAGGCTTCTCGCTCGCAGAGGTTAGCGCTCTCTTCTGCCTCCTCTCCCCCTCCTCCCCCTCCCTTCCCACCCCCCCCCCCCCCCGCCCCCCCAATTACCCCCCTCGCCTCCCGTATCCCACTCGAATCCACGTTTCCCCCCATTCGCCTCCCTGTATCCCCCTCCCCTCCCCGTATATCCCCCCCCCCCCCCCCCATGTTTTCATACAAATCATTCACCTTCTCCCCCTTGTTTCTGTGGTACTACTGCGACCAACACTCCCTTTGTTGTGTGCTGACGTTTTTTTTCCTTCTTCCTCGACCGGGCAGGCGAAAAAAATCTATGTTGGTGGACGCAATGCGTGGAACCCGTGGGGCCCGGGAGTGAGGAAATGGAAGGGCCCTCACAAAGTCTTCAGAGGCGACACATTGGGTGAGTCCTTATCACATGCTCTCTCTCTCTCTCTCTCTCTCTCTCTCTCTCTCTCTCTCTCTCTCTCTCTCTCTCTCTCTCTCTCTCTCTCTCTCTCTCTCTCTCTCTCTCTCTCTCTCTCTCTCTCTCTCTCTCTCTCTCTCACACACACACACACTTCAAAACCTCTGTTCTGATTCATTTCAATTGATTGCTACAGTGTTCAGATGGAAGAAAAAATCAAACTTGGTTATGCTGGCCGATGAAACGGACCCTGCGGCGCCTTATTATTTCGACAAGTGTACATACGACACGACCAATCCCGCGTTGCACACTGTGGTTGCGGAAGCCAAGGCCTCGGGATCTGCCAAGTTCACGATTGCCAAGAACTCCGCGGCACTCCATTATTGGTTCATTAGTACTGTTGGCAAGACGTGCAAGAACGGGCAGAAATATGAAACGCCGCCTATCCTTACCAAGTAGTGATGGTAGTATCAACTGTGTGCAAATGGCTGGTTGAAGTATGCATGCTTGTTTAATTAGATTACTGGCACGTAGGTAGCATCTATCCTTTTGGTACTTAATATAATCTATCTACATTGATCCTGACAGGAAGCTGGATGGCAGTGTGATTCTAACAACAATATTGACTGTAGAGACTACTGAGGCCTCATATACTGGTACTGTACTTGCTTGGCCTGTGAATACCAGTCGTACCAATCATCTGGGTGCCGCTGATTGGACAAAGCAAGTCAGGGTTTGGATGGACTAAAGGCAAGTCTGCTAGGTAATGGACTACAATTCAGCACAGTACAGCGCCTTAATGAGAAGGGAACACACCCCCAAAGTGCCTGAAACGAGCAATTGGGGCGGCAGAAAGAAAAACGTTGGAAATGTTCAAGACTCCTGGGTATGTCCATCAAATGAGGGCCCAAGTCCGTCAATAGAAACATGCACACATAATCACCCTGCAGAAACTTTCAAGCATCAAGAAGAGCTTCAATGGATTAAAAAAAAGAAGAAAACACTCAACAATGAGAATTTAGGAAATAATGTACGTACACCAAACCAAACCTTCAATCTACACTTCCTACGCTCTATGCACTTAGCCTTCACAGAATGTCAAAACAAACCATTAAGATGTTTAAGGCAATCCCAAACCCATTCTCTGCGCATTCCCTCTATCCTCTCACTCTGCATTCTCTCTATCCACTCACTGCGCATTCAGCCGACCCACAAGCTCTTTTGCGCCCAGAAAAGGAGTCACAGCCTCTCTTCACCACCACTACCCTCTGCCGACCTCCATTCTCGAGGCACCTTCAACCCGAAATCTGAGGAATGGTTGACCCACTCACTGTGCATTCAGTCGATCGAGCTCTTTGGCGCCCAGCAGCGAGTCACGCCCTCTCTCCACAGCCACACAACACCATCATCCCCACCACTAGCATGCTCATTCTCCACCACCACTCACTGGGCATTCAGTCTGTCCACAAGTTCTTCTGTTCCCAGCAGCGAGTCACACCCTCCACCTTTTTGAGGCCTCAAAACTCTCCCACTATTGAGCCTCCCAATCCACTCACTGGGCATTCAGTCTGTCCACAAGTTCTTCTGCTCCCAGCAGCGAGTCGCATCCTCTCTCCACTGCCACCACCAGCTGCCGCCCGCCACTCCTTCTCTCCACCACCCACGCATTCCTCCCCACCTTCGATGCCACCTCCTCACTCTCCTCCTCACTCTCCTCCTCACTCTCCTCCTCAATCTCCTCCTCATCCCTCTCTGCAAGCCACTCCTCTCCCGCCTCTTCCACCCCACCCTCTCCTCCCTCCTCCGGACTTATCCCTTTCCTCTCCCCAACAACAGCTACACTCTGCTCCCCCTCGCCTCCCACATCTGCCGCTCCCTCCGCCTCTCTCCCTCTCCGATCCCCCTCTTCGCCCTTGGAATTCTCCATCTCCGAATCTATTCCTCGTGTGCTGGCCGAATGTTGCTCCTTCCAGCCTGCGCCGGGCACAGAAGCGTGGTCAGTGGGAAGGGAAGCAGTTTTGGCAAATCCACAAAAGAAAAAAACCTTCGAATTCTCCTTCTCTGAGTTACCCCCTCGTGAGCCGGCCGGATGTTGTTCCATCCAGCCTGCGCCGGGCACAGAAGCGTGGTCAGTGGGGAAAGCAGCAGTGTGCAAGTGACATGCTTTTTTTCTTTCAGATTTCTCAAAACTACCTAGAAATCTCCGCCCCTGCACTCTCCCGTTGTGTGCTGGCTGGATGTTGCTCCTTCCGGCCTCCGCCGGGCACAAGCGTGGTCAGTGGGAAGAGCAGGGGTGCAGTCAGAGAGAAGAGCAGGCAAGCAGTCAGAAGGACGAGCAGGAGAGAAGTCAATGAGAAGAGCAGGAGAGAAGTTAATGAGAAGAGCAGGAGAGAAGTTAATGAGAAAGCAGGAGAAAGTTAATGAGAAGAGCAGGAGAGAAGTTAATGAGAAGAGCAGGAGATAAGTTAATGAGAAAGCAGGAGATAAGTTAATGAGAAGAGCAGGAGAGAAGTTAATGAGAAGAGCAGGAGAAAAGTTAATGAGAAGAGCAGGAGAGAAGTTAATGAGAAGAGCAGGAGATAACTTCATGAGAAGAGCAGGAGAGAAGTTAATGAGAAGAGCAAGAGATAAGTTAATGAGAAGAGCAGGAGATAAGTTAATGAGAAGAGCAGGAGATAAGTTAATGAGAAGAGCAGGAGATAAGTTAATGAGAAGAGCAAGAGACAAGTTAATGAGAAGAGCAGGAGATAAGTTAATGAGAAGAGCAGGAGATAAGTTAATGAGAAGAGCAGGAGATAAGTTAATGAGAAGAGCAGGAGATAATTTAATGAGAAGAGCAGGAGATACGTTAATGAGAAGAGCAGGAGATAATTTAATGAGAAAAGCAGGAGATACGTTAATGAGAAGAGCAGGAGATAAGTTAATGAGAAGAGCAGGAGAGCAGTCAGAGGGAAGAGGAGCAAAGGTAGCTGTTGAGATGGCAATATCCTTTCTCCTCCCTGCACCCTCATCATCTCCCTCATCTGCTGCTGCCTGTCCACCTCCTGTCACATCCAGTTCAACACTGCATGGGAGAGCCCACCCACACCGAAGGTTCAAAATTATGGTCGTATTTTACGGTAAAATACGATAGATCGTGCTGTTTAAGGGTTGGTTCAAAAATACGGTCGTAATTTACGGTTGAAATTTTGAAACAATGAAGTGGAAAAAGAAATTGCAAGGGGGCCCCCTTGAGCGAAGCCTCTCTTTTAAAGTGGGGAAAGGGGGGATTAATTAGGACCGTATTCGTAGGAAATCGCAATGTTCCAGTTGCTATTGCGATGGGGAAATGTGTCGCTGCAGAATAGGTACGAGTGAGATCTAGATCTCACCCAGTCTCAGGGTACAAATGTTTGAAAGGTTGGGTTGGGTTAGGTAGAGGGAGTGGGATTTAGAGCGGTTGGGGGGAGTGCATGAGCTGGGAAAATTGGGATGCAAATCTTCCGTCTTTGAGCTCGCTGACATTTCGTCATGTAGAAACGCGAAGTGACGAGTAAGCCTATGCGATTGTGAACCCCCACTGCCACGTCGCACAGGGGTCAAGAATGCACCTCGCGAGTATTTTTCCCCTCGCCAAAACGTTTTTACTCGCTTTTCAAGTAATATTCTAGCCGCACAAGGCGGGACGCACGCCTATTGTCTTGAGGAGCATAGGGGAGCGGTTTTTTAGGCATAGATCCATAGATCCGTTGTAGACCATTCTAGGCCTGATAGTTAGCAATTTCACATCCCTAGAGGTGGTTGGTAGCAAGTCTGAATTTTTTTCTAGCAGGAAAAAAAATCTCTAACAGAAATACGGTCGAATTTTTGAAATCTGATCGTAAAATACGGTCCGGGAAACCGTATTTTTCATCCTTGCCCACACCTGTCTCTTTTTGAGTCGACTCAAAAGCGAAACCCTCCTCTTGAGTCGACTCAAAGGCGAAACCCTCCTCTTGAGTCGACTCAAAAGCAGAACCCTCCTCTGCTGCTGCCTGTCCACCTCCTGTCACATCTAGTTCAACACTGCATGGGAGGAGACGTTTGAGTCGACTCAAAAGTCACCTCCTGTCACATCTAGTTCAACACTGCATGAGAGGAGACTTTTGAGTCGACTCAAAAGCATCTCCCTCCTCTGCTGCTGCCTGTCCACCTCCTGTCACATCTGGTTCAGCACTGCAAGAGATCCCACCCATACCTTTCTCTCCTCTTCCTGCCCTCCCTGTGGACGCATCTCTTTTTGAGGTATTCTCGATCTCGTTGCATCAAAGAAATTCTTGAAGCGCTTAAGAGATTCAACCATACCTTTCTCTCCTCTTCTCGCCCTCCCAGTAAACGCATCTCTTCTCTTCCTTCTTCCCCCCTGCACCCTCATCATCTCCCTCCTCTGCTGCTGCCTGTCCGCCTCGTGTCTCATCTGGTTCAGCACCGCAAGGGAGTCCTGGGGGAGGGAGAGTAGAGTGACAGCGGTGCAAGATAGAGAGAGACAGAGAAAAGCATACTGTTGAATCAACAAGCCATCACCATCCCCTCTCTGCCTGTCCGCCTCGTGCCTCATCTGGTTCAGCACCGCAAGGGAGTCCTGGGAGAGGGAAAGGGGTGCATGAGAGGGAAAAGTATTGGTTGGGATCGCCAATGCATCACCACTTGCAATGATCCGCAACACACCCTCTCCTCTGCTACTGCCAGTCCACCTCGTGTCTCGTCAGGTTCAGCACTGCGAGGGAGTCTTGATGGAGGGAGAGGGAGAGAGAACAAGGGAGGGAGAGAAAGAGAGAACAAGAGAGCCGACTATTAAAAGCCATCAAGCCGTCGCCTCTCTGCCTGTCAAGCCATCGGCTCGTGTCTCATCGGGTTCAGCACAGCAAGGGAAAAGAGGCAAAAGGTGAATTCTGAGTCGATTTAAGAGTCACTTGGAGAGTGGTGTAGGAGAAGGCAAGGGAAAAGAAGGTGGGATTCTGGCTGGCTTGCCTCAGAAACACAAGGGAGACACCCGAGGTGACTGTTGAGTTGACTCAAACGACACACAAGAAGCAACGGAGTGGAAGGGAGCATGCAAACGAAGAGGAAGAGATGAGAAACACTCAGAGGCACCAACTTTGGTGAGGGTGGTGACTTTGCAGGGCGGGGAGGCGGCGGAGGAGCGAAGGAGAGTCGGAGAAACAAGGAGGGGGATGGGGAGGGGATGAGAGCAGAGGGGGACCGACCTTACAGGGGGTATGTGTCGAAGTGAAAGGCCCTGCCCTCGCTTGGGCGCAGGCGTCCTCGATGCCGACATGGTGAATTCGACAAACTGGTCGTCGAATGGGCTTTCGCTGTTGAACGACAGCGATTGTCGAAAAGGAGATTGCGTTGTCGACGACGGATCCTGTTGGTCGACAAGAATGGTCGTCGACGAGCTCGCCCTTGAGCTTTGATTGACGGGGCGCTTTTCGACGAGCCCGCCCCTCATCGACGGGCGTTGTTCGGTGAGCCTCGTCTTCTGATCGACGGGCGCGGTTCGGCGAGCCTTGTCTCGGCGAACTGGCCGACCGAATTTTCTCGACTACGAAACTCTGCGAGGGTGTGCGAATTTTGCCTAGGAGGTTTTTGCGAAGTCGATCCACGGAATGGCGTCACGTGCTCGACAGTGGACATCTGGCGAAACCGTGAACACGTGTTCTACCTGGCACCTACGCAATGTGCCTGACAGGCTGACAGTGCAACCCGTCGACCTGCACTTACTTGGTAGGTGCGTACATATGCGCACATGTTCACCTGCGACTGCAATGCTGACAGACCACTTTGGATGCAATGCTGGCAGGCCGCCCTGATGAAGCGTTGGCAAGCCGCTCTTCTGCTGCACTGGCAGTTCGCTTTACAAATTTCTTGCTAGGTGTTCGAATGCCTTCCTTGCTAATCAACTTGCATGCCTCATTGTAATCTAACGACGTAGCACCTTTAGGGAATTTGCCAGGATCGATCCCGAGTGGGGATCGATGTGCCAGGGGTACAATGTAATGTCGACATCGCCAAAAGCCTTGTATCCCAAAGTGGTGGCACCTCTTGCGCGCACGATCGATGTGCACATCGATCGTGCGTTTGGGTTGGCGAGAGAGCCGATCGCGCCAGATGTGACAGCCACGATCGATCGGAGTCACCCACGGTCGCATGCCGAAAATGCCCTAGTCGCTGCGACTGACATTGCTGGGCGACCAACCATGCTCTGCACTGATTGGCTGCGCGTTGCAGCGTGTTGGTATATTCCGACGCGGCTCCAACCTGCTCGACCCTGCAATCTCGATCCTGGCATCTCTAGCTCAATGTGTCTACCCCACTGCAATTTGCAGTGTGAGCACAACGGTGTGCCGATTGATGTGGCAGGGTTGGTGTAAGGCCCCGATCCTGGTAAATTCTCTAGAGGTGTCGCATTATAATGCTCCATCTCTTTTGCTAGTGAAACTCTTGCCAAATTTCTATAAACACAGAAAATAGTGAGAATGCTATTACAACAGTACGATCGCCCGCACAACCCCGTGCCCTCCTACGTAGTCCACTCCCGTTGCAGAATGACTCTATGCAGTATGAATTCACCTTGGCGAGGGTGGTGACTTTGCAGGGGGGGAGGGTGGTAGAGGAGCGACAAAGGGTCAGAGCAGCAAGACGTAGGGGGGTGGGGAGGGGATGATAGCAGAGGGGAACCGACCCTATAGGGGGTAAGAACCCACCTTGGCGAGGGTGGTGACTTTGCGCGGCAGTGAGGCGGCAGAGGAGCGAAGGAGGGTCGCAGCAGCAATTAGGAGGGGGATGGGAGGGGATGATAGCACAGGGGGACCAACCTTACAGGGGTTAAGAACCCACCTTGGCGAGGGTGGTGACTTTGCAGGGCGGGGAGGCAGAAAAGGAGCGGAGCAGAGGGTCGGTGCAGAGGTAGCGGCAGCCCTGAATGTGGGCGGCTTGCGGGTTGATGTGGTGCTGCTGAAGTGACGCCTCCAATGCTTCCATCTCCCTCAGCAGCTGATGATGAGTGGGAGGGGAGGGAGCAAGCATGGAGAGGCATGGAGGCAGGAGGTTCTTGCAGAGGTAGCAGCTGGCACCATGTAACTGGACGTGTGCTGCTTGCGGGTTGATGTGGTGCTGCTGAAGCGACGCCTCCAATGCTTCCATCTCCAGCAGCTGATGGGGATGGCGAGAGAGGAAGGGGGGGACGAGGGGGGTGGGAGATGAGGAGAGGAGGAAGGGAAGAAAGAAGGATTTTGTTAAGGGTGTGACGAAGAGACACATGTGCTAGGTGGGAGAAAGCGCCAACATTTGAAAATCTATAACATTCTTGCTGTAATGTTTTTGACAGGTTAACTCAGAAAACCAAACAAAATAGGAAACTAACAGACAAGGAACTCTTGTTTGTTTGTTTCTCTGTTTTTTTTTTTTTTTTTGCTTTTTTTTTTTCTTTGAGTTTCTTTTATTTCTTTCTTTCCTTCTTTCTCTCTGCTTTTTCTTGTTCTCATCGAAGCATGCCAGTTACATTCTCTTGCCCAAGACACGTCCTTCTTGTCTGTGCATACTGAGTCAGTTTGTAACGGGTCAGACAAGCAACAACTCACCTTGGGACGCAAATTCGCCTGACCAGCATCAGCATTCCTCCTCTCTCCCTCCCTTGCACCATGCCCTCCTCCTGCTGCTGCTGCTTGTGGTTCCACCACCAGGGCTGTCAGATCCTTGACAGAAAACACTCCCAGCACTTGCAGCACTCTCACCACTCCCAGCACTTGCAGACAAGGCAATCCACTCAACTCACCTCGGGGTGCAGATTTGCCGGACCAACTTCATCTTTCCTCGTCTCTCCCTCCCTTGCTGCTCCTCCCGCTGCTGCTGGTAATGGCTCCACCACCAGTGCTGTCAGGTCCTTCACAAAAAATACCCGCAGCACTCCCACCACTCCTGGTGCCCCTTCAGCTCCCCCTCCCCCTCCGCCTACCCCTCCCCCTTCCCCTTCCCCCTTTCCATCGCCCTTCTCCTGCTTTCCACCCGCCCCCTTCCCCTCCCCATCCCTGCGTTCTCTTGTCCCCCACTCCCTTTTCTCCCCACGTTCCTCAACCTCTCCTCCTTCCCCAACCCCTCCCCCCACCTCTACTCCCAAAGACCTTAGGTAGACAAGAGGGGGGAGAGGGGTGTTGCTTTGGGGATCCACTCCCCATGCTGAGGTGGAAAGGGAGTGGCCTGACGTGGATTTGGCCCAGGATGACGGGCGAAGCGGGAGGGGTGAGGAGGAGTAGGGGAGGGGGAAAGGGGAGGAGAGGGTGGGGGGGTTGGACGCGGAGGAAGAAAGGGGGAATGGCTGGTTGGGGTTGGGGCAAGCAGAGGGGGAGAGAGGGGGAGTGTGGCCGAAAGGGGAGAGGTGGGCGAGTGAGGGTGTGGAAGAGGAGCGAGGTAGGGTGGGAGCGAGTGAGGGAGTGAGTGAGGGAGTGATTGAGGGCCTGAGGGAAGAGGAAGAGGTGCGACGGGGCGAGGGGGAGGAGGGGCGGTGAGAGGAAGGGGAGGAGGAGGCGGAGGAGGAGGAGGTGAAGGGGGAGCGGAAGGGGGAGAGGGAGCGAAGGATGGAAGAGGAGGAGGAAGGGGAGAGGGAGGAGGGGAGGAGACGCAGGCATGCGTAAGAGTGTAATGCTGCAGTGTCAGCCTGAGGGAAGGCGGGGTGGAAAGGAGGAAAAGTGGAGAGGGAGGGAGGGAGGGAGGGGGGAGGGGGTAGGGGAGGCGGAAAGAGGACTTTGAAGTGGACAAAAAAGGCGCAGGCATGCGTAGGAGTGTAGTGCTGCAGTGTCAGCCTGAGGGTGGGTGGCGGAGAGGGGTGAGGGGGGAAATGGGTGGGAAGAAAAGAGGGAGAGAGAGTATTTTTCTTTGAGGGCAATCTCGAGGAAGAGCGGGGTGGGGAGAAGAGGAGGCATGTGTAGGAGTGTAATGTTGCAGTGTCAGCCTGAGACGGAGAGGGGGAGATGGGTGAGAGACTAGAAAAAGGTGTGGGAGTTGTGAGGGGTGAGAAGGGAGCGAGGGGATGAAGAGGGGTTAGAGGGGGAGAGGTGAGGTGAGGAGAAGCGGGAAGTGAGAAGCTAGCAGAAGGCGTGAGTGGTTACCGAGGCAAGCAGCAAGATGTGGCAGAGTAGCAGAGCATGGCTTGGGGCTTCTTTTGAGTCGACTCAAAAGCATGGCTTGGGGCTTGGGGCTTGGGGCTTGGGGCTTGGGTTGTAGACTAGAACAAACGGCCAGAATGGGTACCGGGAGGAAGGTTTGAGTGTGGTTACCAGGGAGAGGGTGGAGGCGAGCAACAGGTTGTGGCAGAGCAGCAGAACAAGGCTCTGGGTTTGACTCAGATAATTACCACGGAGAGGGCATGAGTGAGTGGTTACCAGGGAGAGGGTGGAGGCGAGCAACAGGTTGTGGCAGAGCAGCAGAACAAGGCTTTGGGTTTGACTCAGATAATTACCACGGAGACGGCATGAGTGAGTGGTTACCAGGGAGAGGGTGGAGGCGAGCAACAGGTTGTGGCAGAGCAGCAACGACGAGCCTTGAAACGGCGTTTTGAGGCGCGAGCATACCTTTGAGGCGCCTCGAAAAAAAGTTTTGAGGCGCCTCGAAAAAAAGTTTTGAGGCGCCTCGAAAAAACTTTTGAGGCGCCTCGAAAGGCGTTTGCTAGGAGATGAGCGAGCAGCAGAGCAACACTTGGGGCTTGGGTTTTGAGTTTTGGAGCGTGGGGTTTGGGACTTCAGGTTTGGAGCTTGGGTTTTGGAGCTTGGGGTTTGGGGTTTGGAGGGTTACCGGGGAGAGGGTGGAGGCGAGCAGCAGGTTGTGGCAGAGCAGCAGCGCCCCTCCTTGAAAAGCGTCCGCCAGGCGATGGGCGAGCGACTGGTGGGAGGAGGAGGGATGGGAGGGAGAAGGGAAAAGCAGAGCTGAGGGTGATTGAGAAAAGAGGTTGTGGCAGAGCAGCAGCGCCCCTCCTTGAAAGGCGAGATGGGAGGGAGGCGTTTAAGAGAGAGTAAAGTTGAAACAAAACGGCAGCAGCGCCCCTCCTTGAAAGGAGAGATGGGAGGGAGGCGTTTAAGAGAGAGTAAAGTTGAAACAAAACGGCAGCAGCGCCCCTCCTTGAAAGGCGAGATGGGAGGGAGGCGTTTAAGAGAGAGTAAAGTTGAAACAAAACGGCAGCAGCGCCCCTCCTTGAAAGGAGAGATGGGAGGGAGGCGTTTAAGAGAGAGTAAAGTTGAAACAAAACGGCAGCAGCGCCCCTCCTTGAAAGGAGAGATGGGAGGGAGGCGTTTAAGAGAGAGTAAAGTTGAAACAAAACGGCAGCAGCGCCCCTCCTTGAAAGGCGAGATGGGAGGGAGGCGTTTAAGAGAGAGTAAAGTTGAAACAAAACGGCAGCAGCGCCCCTCCTTGAAAGGCGACATGGGAGGGAGGCGTTTACGAGAGAGTAAAGTTGAAACAAAACGGCAGCAGCGCCCCTCCTTGAAAGGCGAGATGGGAGGGAGGCGTTTAAGAGAGAGTAAAGTTGAAACAAAACGGCAGCAGCGCCCCTCCTTGAAAGGCGAGATGGGAGGGAGGCGTTTAAGAGAGAGTAAAGTTGAAACAAAACGGCAGCAGCGCCCCTCCTTGAAAGGCGAGATGGGAGGGAGGCGTTTAAGAGAGTGTAAAGTTGAAACAAAACGGCAGCAGCGCCCCTCCTTGAAAGGCGAGATGGGAGGGAGGCGTTTAAGAGAGAGTAAAGTTGAAACAAAACGGCAGCAGCGCCCCTCCTTGAAAGGAGAGATGGGAGGGAGGCGTTTAAGAGAGAGTAAAGTTGAAACAAAACGGCAGCAGCGCCCCTCCTTGAAAGGCGAGATGGGAGGGAGGCGTTTAAGAGAGAGTAAAGTTGAAACAAAACGGCAGCAGCGCCCCTCCTTGAAAGGCGAGATGGGAGGGAGGCGTTTAAGAGAGAGTAAAGTTGAAACAAAACGGCAGCAGCGCCCCTCCTTGAAAGGCGAGATGGGAGGGAGGCGTTTAAGAGAGAGTAAAGTTGAAACAAAACGGCAGCAGCGCCCCTCCTTGAAAGGCGAGATGGGAGGGAGGCGTTTAAGAGAGAGTAAAGTTGAAACAAAACGGCAGCAGCGCCCCTCCTTGAAAGGAGAGATGGGAGGGAGGCGTTTAAGAGAGAGTAAAGTTGAAACAAAACGGCAGCAGCGCCCCTCCTTGAAAGGCGAGATGGGAGGGAGGCGTTTAAGAGAGAGTAAAGTTGAAACAAAACGGCAGCAGCGCCCCTCCTTGAAAGGAGAGATGGGAGGAGGCGTTTAAGAGAGAGTAAAGTTGAAACAAAACGGCAGCAGCGCCCCTCCTTGAAAGGCGAGATGGGAGGGAGGCGTTTAAGAGAGAGTAAAGTTGAAACAAAACGGCAGCAGCGCCCCTCCTTGAAAGGCGAGATGGGAGGGAGGCGTTTAAGAGAGAGTAAAGTTGAAACAAAACGGCAGCAGCGCCCCTCCTTGAAAGGCGAGATGGGAGGGAGGCGTTTAAGAGAGAGTAAAGTTGAAACAAAACGGCAGCAGCGCCCCTCCTTGAAAGGCGAGATGGGAGGGAGGCGTTTAAGAGAGAGTAAAGTTGAAACAAAACGGCAGCAGCGCCCCTCCTTGAAAGGCGAGATGGGAGGGAGGCGTTTAAGAGAGAGTAAAGTTGAAACAAAACGGCAGCAGCGCCCCTCCTTGAAAGGCGAGATGGGAGGGAGGCGTTTAAGAGAGAGTAAAGTTGAAAGAAAACGGCAGCAGCGCCCCTCCTTGAAAGGCGTATGCCAAGCGATGGGCGAGAGACTGATGATGGGGAGGGGAGGGGGAAGAGTTTCAGAACAAGAGCAGAGAGAGAGATAGTGGTGGAGAGGTAGTTGAGGAGAGCAGCGGCGAGAAATAGGTTAAGGGGTATGCGTGCAGGGACAAGGGAGTGACTCACCGGTGAGGGGAGTGTGAGGGAGCGGGGGAGGTTCAATTGACGACAGGAGAGGCGGTAGGAGAGGCGGTAGGAGAGGCGGTTGGAGAGGCGGTTGGAGAGGGAATCGAGGAGAGCAGGCATGCGCACTCGAGGAGGCGTGGGGTATGCATGCCACACGCCTCCTCGAGTGCGCATTCCTGCTCGCCTCAACCTGTTGCTCGCCTGTGCCACAGCGAGCGGCATGCATACCCCACGTATGCCTTTTGAGGCGCCTCAAAAGTCGCACTCGAGGAGGCGTGGGGTATGCATGCCACAGCGAGTCATCCAAGCGAGGAGAGAGTGACTCACCAGAGCAGGGAGCGTGAGGGAGCGGGAGAGGTTGAGCTGGCGGCAGGAGAGGCGGTTAGAGAGAGAGTCGAGAAGAGCAGGCAGGCGCACTCGAGGAGTGGTGGGAGCGGATAGGGCGAAGGGGAATGCGAGGGCGGATGGTTCTGGGGAGCCACCTGGAGGGATGAGGGGTGGGGGGGAGCGCAGTGAGGAGGGAAAAGGGGAGCAGTGAGGTGTGCGAGCAGTGAGGGGGAAGAGGAATGCGAGAGCGGAGGGTTCAGGTACCCGCCTGGAGGGATGAGGGGGGGGGGGGGGGGGGGGGGGGGGGGTTAAAGGAGGAGTGCGGGCAGGAAGTGGAAAGCATCGGTTGAGTCGACAAAACAAACGACAAGAGGAGGGGCAGAGGAGGGGAAGGTGAGAGAGGAGGTGAGAAGTGTGAGAGAGAGCAGTGAAAGCAGAAGGTGGGGAGGGGGGGTGGAGGGGGAAACGAGTACGATCCACACAAGTCAGAAGAGACAAAGTTTGGAGGAGCCTCTACAAGAGGCAAGTTTGGAGGAGCCTCTAAAAGAGGCAAGTTTGGAGGAGCCTCTAAAAGAGGCAAGTTTGGAGGAGCCTCTAAAAGAGGCAAGTTTGGAGGAGCCTCTAAAAGAGGCAAGTTTGGAGGAGCCTCTAAAAGAGGCAAGTTTGGAGGAGCCTCTACAAGAGCCAAGTTCGGAAGAGCCTCTACAAGAGGCAAGAGATACGCACCTGTGAGGAGGTCAGGAGGAATGCTTGCAGGCAGGCACGGGCTAAGTCAAAGTGTGAGAGAGATGAGAGAAAGGAGAGAGGAGAAAACAACATGCACTATACCCAGGCATGAGGCAGGAGGCAGGAGGCAGGAGGCAGAGGAGACACACACCTGTGAGAAAGTCCGGGAGGAAGGCTTGCAGGCAGGCACGGGCTAAGTCGGCTGAAAGGGGAACGGCCGACGGGGAATCGTGTGAAGGAGTGCTGGACTCAAGATCTGATGAAGTATTTGATGAGGGCCCAGTTGTTGCTTCTGAGGGGAGAGGAGGAGGAGGGTGGGGTTGCTGCTGCTGCAACAGGCGGTTGATGCTGCCGAAGAAGAGACAAAAAAGCCCATGCGCCTCCACCAGATACTGCCGAAGAGCTTCGTCGCGCACTGTAGCGTCGGGCGGCACGATGCCGTTCACCCCCCGACACTCCACCACCTGAGATTAGGTTCGGCATATGGGAAGCTGAAAGGTTAGGGCAGGTGGGCGGGGGTGTGGGGTGCGGAGTGTAGGGGAAGATGAAAGGTAAGGGTGGGGGGGGAGTATGGAAGATGCCCGGCTCACACTCCAGCAGCACGTGGCGGTGGAAGGAAGAGCGAGACTACGAGGTCTGTAATGACTGTGGGCATGTGCACGCGCCATGCACCCACCAGCACCACTCACCACCGCACTCACCATCACCATGAAGATGCCCGGATCACACTCCAGCAGCACGTGGCGGTGAGAGAAGGTGTGCTGACTACCACTGCCAGCCCCACTCACATCATGCACACTTCATAGTGCCTCAAGCACCCATCCAATCCACATGACACCATCACCGCACTCACCAGCACCATGAAGATGCCCGGCTCACACTCCAGCAGCACGTGGCGGTTGAAATGCGCTCGCATCACTTCACAGGGGCGATGGGGGGAGAAGATCCTGCAAGGGGGAGGGGGGGAGGCGGCACAGTAGGGGGAGAGGAAGGGAGGGCAGCACGTGGCGGTTGAAATGCGCTCGCATCACCTCACAGGGGCGATGGGGGGAGAAGATCCTGACGGGGGCGGAAGGCAATACGTGGATAGGCAGCAGAGTGGGGAGCGGGGGGGAGAGGGAGGGCAGCACATCGGGGCTTTAACGTGGGACTGGTGGGCGAGCAGGGGACACTGAGAGGGTGGTTCATTTGATGGGGGGGGAGCGGGAGGTAAGGAGGGCAGCGAGTGTGTTTATTGCCAGTGTGAATACTGCGAGTGTGACTGTCCAGTCTGCCTTTAGAGATTGTGACAATAGCGAGTATGGCTACCGCGAGGCACCTGGTGAATGCGAGGAGGCCCTCCCAGAGGCCCAGCAGCGCCAATTTCTCCGACGGCGGAGTCGCCTGTAACATAGGATATGACTATACTGGTGTGACTGCAACGTGTGTAACTCTAGCGAGTGTGACTATAGCGAGTCACATTTTATATGAGTCACCTGGTGAAGGCGAGGAGGCCCTCCCAGAGGCCCAGCAGCGCCACTTGCTCCGACGGCGGGGTGGCGGGCGGAAAGAATATGTCTATACGAGTGTGACTAAAACGTGTGTAAGTCTACCGGGGTGTGACTACAGCGAATGTGACGATACCTGGTGAAGGCGAGTAGCCCCTCCCAGAGGCCAAGTAGAGCCACTTGCTCGGACGGCGGAGTGGCGGGCGGAAAGAAGAACAGAAGCTTCTCCGCCTCTTCCCCCTCCCGCTTCCCCCTCCGCGAGTCGAACACGCACACGCGCACCGCGCTTCCCGCCGCTCCACCTCCCCCGCCGCCTCTCCCGCCGCTTCCCCCGCCGCCGCCCATCCCGGCTCCCCCTGCGCCCCCCCCGCCTTTCCCCATGCCGCGGGGAGACGCGCGGCGGGGCGAGAGCGCGGGGAAATCGCGACCACAAGGGGACTTCGACGCCGAATGAACTAACACGCGCGGAACGGCTGCGGAAGTGCGAATATGCGAAAACGCGAATTTGCGGAACGCGGAGACGCGGATATGCGGAGAATGAACGAAGTGCGTCGATAGCCAAGTGGCGGCTGAGCTTTTATAATGCGGAATGCGAATCCTGAAGAAAATTTGCAGTACAGTTCCGCGTTACTGCAAAACTCGATAGTTCCAATTGTACTGATAATTCTATGACTTGAGATCATTGCAGATCTGTTAAAACAATATATGTTGATAATGATCAAGATTCTTTAAACTTTGGTGAATCTCATTTTTCGCGTACAATTTCGACCAAGTGGCTCCATTCTGAGCCAAGAAAACAGTTTTCGTCACCTTGAAAGGCAAAGCGCTAACGGAGCGCGCTCACGAAAGAGACATTACTTACTAACTGTTGAAGGAATTTGGCCTCGCCCTCGCATGGGCAAAACTGACATCGTGGTCGGGTGTGCGGGAGGTGCAGCCGACCTTCTGCAGGTGTGCAAGGGTTGCATGTACACGAGGTGTACTAGGGAATCCATGCAAGAGTAACTGAAGCTTCCCTAAGTGCAACACATATGTCTCGTGCAGATGTACTAGTGGCGCAACTCGTACAGAGGTTCGCGGATGTTCGTCTGCGTAGGGTCGCGTCTGACCCTGCGCACCCTTGAGATTGCACTGGCGAATTTTGGCCAGAAATTCGAATGTGCCTTCATTTCGACCAATCAAGAGCTGACATTTTGACATATCGACCGAGGTGTTCGACAAAGGTGTTCGACGAAGGTTGTCGACCCGCGACGACGAAGGTCTGCCAGAATCCCAACCACTTGGACCATCAGGATAAAAGGGCTTGTTTGTGTAGCGAGTGAGTGCGCCCATAACCCTCAACGCCAACGTGCCTGTAACCCTTCCCTAGGATCAACCGGGGATCACCAATAGACCTCTGACACTCCTCCGCACTGGGATGCCCGAAGTGCACACACTTGGATTCGAACCCGAGACCTTCGCTCTGAAACAATGTCAGAATCCAAACCACTAAGACCATTGGGATAAAAGGGCTTGTTTGTGTAGCGGTGAGTGCGCCCATAACCCACCACGCCAACGTGCCTGTAACCCTTCCTTAGGATCAACCGGGGATCACCAGTGGACCTCTGACAAGGCCGTCAACCGGTGATGACGAAGGTCATCATCTTGCTGCAGGGTTGTCAATGACTTTACCTAGTTGACCAGGTTACCTGCTCGACGAGGTTCTGCGGAGGGTCGCGAACGTCGTCGAGGTTGTTGTGGCGGAGTCGACCGACGTGGCTCATCAGGTGCAACCGTCAGCATGTGGCTGACAGCCTGCGCAATGTGATCGACAGTGCACGTCGTGCATAACTGTCTACAAGCACTTGCGAAGTGTTGAAATCACGAGGAATGAATGCACTAGGAAACAGGTGGGTACAAGTAGGAAAACCTAAAAGTGTTGTACCCCATATTGTCTACCCCACTACAGCCTACACCGACTATAGCATATAAATTTGACACACCCCCATAGGTAAAGTGGGGGAGAACAAAAGGTCATAAGACCAGTCAACCAAAGCACAGCAAGCTCAGGGTGGATCACAACGTCACCACACATTCCGAGCACAAGTTCAAGACCACAAGGCCAGTTCACATACAAGATCATATATATAAAGGCAAACAAGCAAGTGCAGGTATAGATAGATCACAGTACAAGCAAGGTCAAGAAGTGAGCAAGTGAGGCCAAGTAGGCACGAGACCTAGCATCATACAGCTGCGCTGATGATCACAAGGCGGAAGTGCCTTGGTAAAGATATCAGCAGTGTTGGCCTCAGAGGCCACGTAAGCAAGGCGCAGCTGACCACGCTGCTGCAGCTCACGAGCAAGGAAGTAGCGAAGAGCAATGTGCTTCGTTCTGTGCTCCATTCTGTGCTCCCGACACAAGGCCAGCATGGCCTTGTTGTCTACGTACAGAACTGGAGGAGAAAGAGGCGGCTCTCCTAGGTCAGTCAGCAGGTAGGTGAGCCAGCGTAGCTCCTGTGCAGCCATGGCCCCCGCGTAGATCTCAGCCTCACAGCTGGAGCCGAGAACAAAAGACGAGCGGGTAGACCGCCACGAAACAGAGCCGGAACCAAGGCTGAAGGTGTAACCCTGAGACGACCGATGCGTAGCCTGGTCGTCAGCCCAAGAAGCGTCTGCGTGACCTGTGAGGACCAGTGAACGTCGCCCTCCAAGCACTAGCCCCATGCCCGACGTACTGCACAAGTAGCGCAACACCCTCTTCGCTGCAGCCATATGCTCTTGTCGGTGTCTCCCAGGAGCAACATAGCGTGCCAAGATGCTAAGAGGGTATGCAAGGTCAGGTCGAGTGCAGGTCATCAGGTACATGAGGCAGCCAACAAGCTCTGGGTACGGGCCACTCGGCTCTACGGACTCATCCGAAGGCAGAGCTGAGAGCGAGTGGCGAGTAGGCAGAGGAGTGGCCTGAGGCGAGGAGTACGTGAAGTCGAAGCGCTGAAGGACCTGCTGCACCATGTGTGACTGAGTCAGGGTAATGGTGCGCTATGCTCTGTCCCGGGTGATCTGCAAGCCAAGGTAGCTGCGCAGTTCACCCAGGTCTGTGCACGTGTGTCTCTTCTGCAGCTCGGACTTCACGTAGGCGAGTCCAGCAGTGTCAGCAGTGACAAAGACCAAGTCATCGACGTACACGAGGACGTAGAAAGGCGGCAAAGAGGTGTCGGTGCGCAGAAACAGCGACGGGTCGGCTGTAGAAGGAGCAAACCCAAGAGCCGCAAGTGTAGTCCTCAGTGTGTCGTGCCACTCGGCGCCTGGCGTAGACCGTAGACTGGCCGCCGGAGGCTTCACTGGGTACCAGGAGGAAACAACCGAGTGAAGCCAGGTGGGCGGCGCAGCCAGATCTCCTCGTGCAGGCTGCCCTGCAGGAAAGCTGTGCTGAAGTCAAGAGAGTGAAGCTCGTAGTCGCGCTGAGCGGCTATGTGCAGCAGCACCCGAAGAGTGGTCATCTTCGGGGTGGGAGAGAAGGTCTGTAAGTAGTCAACTCCCTGCCGCTGACTGAAGCCTCGAGCCACGTAACGCGCCCTGAAAATCCACATGCCACTGACGATGTTCGCCCCAGGTGGGGGAACCTCGTCGACGTAGGTGCCTGTGGACTTCCAGGAAGCCATCTCTGCGTCCATGGCTGACTGCCACTGAGAGGAGTAGGGACCCTCGATCGCCTCAGCGTACGATCGAGGAGTCGGGATGTCTGGTGCATCCAGGTCTCCCTCAGGGGCAATCAGCATGGACACGAGATGAGGCAAAGCAGCAGCAAAACACTGGAACTCCTCCTGCCTGTCCTCAAGGACGTCCGTGCCAAGAGCACACTCACCCCTGAAGGAAGGAGGACAGACAGACTCAGACTCAGCAACGAGAGTAGTGGCATACTCGAGACGACAGCGAGCAGCAAAGTCGGCAAGCTCAGCAACTAGGGTAGACACAGCAGTGGACGTAAAGGAGGGGTCAGTGACAACAGTAGCCAGAAGACGCGTGACAGTAGGACTGTCAGCACGAAGAGAGTCACACGTCGGGTCAGCAAAAGCAGGAAGAGAGGACTGTGGAGGAGACGGCAGCGGGACACGCAGTGGAGCAGTGGAAGGACGCAGTGCCATCTGGTGGGTGCCCGGGACCACAGGAGGACGCGGACGCGGAACACGACGACTAGTGCGAGCAGCACGAACAGGCGACGCAAGACGAGACGCAGGCTCAAGACGCTCAGCAAGACCTCCAGTAGGACCAGTGTAGGGCAAAGGAGCAAGCAGTGGGGAGGCGGGCTGTAACTGTGACTCGGACTAGACAGGCGGCAGACACTCTAAAGAAAGAGCAGGACCAGCAGAAGGCGGAAGACGAAGAACCTGCTCAAGGAGGGGAACGAAGTACGGCTGCAGCCGCGCAGCGCCTCCAGAACCAGCAGGTACAGCACTAGCACCCCCACGTGCAACACCAGCACTAGTAGCACCCCCAGCTACTGTACTGCCAACTCCAGTACCCTCAGAAGCACCAGTGCCAGAAGCAACTCCAGCGCCAACACCCTCAGGAGCTCCAGCTCCAGGCGGACCACCGGAAGACTCAACAGCCCCAGCTCCAGCACCTCCAGCAGCACTTGCTCCAGAAGTACCGCCAGCTCCAGCACCACCAGCAGCTCCAGTACAAGGAGCACCCCCAGGCCCAGCAGCTCCAGTACCTCCAGTACGAGCACCTCCGGGACCCGTGGCGCCAGCACCCTCAGCAGTAGCACCTCCAGCTCCAGCAGCACAGCTCCAGCGCCGGGCAAACGACTCACGCAACTCCTGTGGAGAGGGTAGCTCCCGCCGGGACGAAGCACCCAAAGGACCCCTAGACCCAGTACCGCCAGAGGCCACACGAGTAGACCCAGCACCCCTAGGCTCCGCACCCCCAGGCTCCGCACCCCCAGCCTCAGCACCTCCAAGCTCAGCACCCCAAGACTCAGCACCCCCAGACTCAGCACCCCCAGCAGCACGTGAGTCAACAGCTACCTCGACAGGCTCGACTGCGTCTACCTGGGACACACCTGACGGGGGCAAGACCCTGATGGGGGAGAGGGTCTACCGGGAGGGGACCTGGCGCGTGGAAGAGCGGCGGCGGGGGGAGGGGCGCATTGCGGTAGGGGAAGAGACGGTAGTAAGGAACCGACTCGTCAAAGGTGACGTCCTGGGAGGACAGAACACGGAGCGAGGTGGGGTGGTAAAACTGCCAACCAGGCGCGTCCGGGGGGAAGCCAAGGAAGATGCAGGGAACAGCACGGGGGGACAACTTGTCCGCAGACAAGTCGCGGACAAACGCCCGAGATCCCCAGACACGAAACGCAGACGCATCGCCAACCTTCCCCGTCCACCGCAAGGTGGGGG